AGTTCAATACTACATAAACCATACTAGAGAAAAATGAAAACATTAAACCCATTGTTGAGTTAGCGTCTGTTTTCCTTCTAAATCAGCACAACAAGCGGAATGTTACATGACTAAGAAAGTGGATGCGGGTGTTGGATTCTGACATCCTTTGTTAATATCTGTGACCTGAATAACCCTGCCTTTTTTACACTGAATTTTTAGACGCTGAATTTCAGACAGTATAATTGAGCCAGTTGAATCTCAGGAGACTGAAAGAATTGCGTTTGAATTTTGAAAGGTTGAATGTTTTTTATGTGCCAATTTTTTTTAACACCGAAAAGTTAAACTGAAAAACAGTTATTGAAAATGTGATCACTTTGAAATATTAGTGTGAATTTTTAGCATGAAGTGAAAATAACAAATTAAATTTCAAACATATAGAAATAATGGCAATGATTTTTTTTTAGGTTAAAATGTATTCTGAATATATTTTAACACTGAAAAATTAAATACAAACTTGCAACATTACCATTTCAGTGTCGTTTTTAATTCAAATCCTAGCAACACATATTTACTTCCATATTTCCAATTCTCCCTTTTTGCTTCGTGACAGGGAACAAAACTGCATCAAGAAAAATGGAGCCAAACATCTTATAAATCACGTGTTTGTACACCACAAAACAGAACCTTCTTTCTCTGCAAAACTGCAAATCATGCTTTTAGAAAATAGGAAACATATTATAATATAATTCAAAGTATAAACAAATACACCTTTATTATTTAGTAATTAACATTTATTACAAAATGTGCATATAAGAATACAAACAGTTGAATCTTAACCAAAATGGTTTATTCAGTCATTGAGGAATATTTATCAGATTTTAGTAATCAGTGCTTTTTGAAGGAATGAATAGAGTTAATTTGGGGCAGCTGTGGCTGAGTGGTTAGAGCAGTCGTCCTCCAATAGGAGAGTTGGGGGTTCAATTCCACCAGCAGTCATATGCTGAAGTGTCCCTGGGCAAGTCACTGAACCCCTCATTGCTTCTGGTGTGTGTCCCATCATGTATGAATGTGATAAAGCTCTGATTAGTCTCTACAGATTCAGATGATCTTTGTCGAGAAGTAGTAGTGCTGGATGAATGTGTGTTGGAGGTAAATGAGGACACAGATTGATTTGTAAAGAGCTTTGAGTATCTAGATTAGATAGAAAGCAGCTATATAAGTACAGTCCATTTACCATTTATCTGTCTGTGCAGAAGAAGCTGATTTCTGCTCAACAGTCACTCTAACATCTGTCATTCTCATACCTCCACCTCCTGAGGTCAACACAAACACTTCGGGCAGCCTATTGGTTTCACCTGACACATTGTATGAACCTGTCAGGAACAGGGCAGGAAGTTGTTGCGGGTCATTTGGAACCAGGCCCAATATCTCTTGTCTTTATTTCTCCTTTTTGTCTCAACCTCTGGTTTTCCCACAATTGTTTGTCAGCAGGAAGCTCAAGCTGGCTGAACACGAGGGAACCTGACCATCTGTAGGGCGAACACACAGAAACCCACACACACACAAGATCTGAGCTACGACGGCTCAGGATACTAGTTGTAGCAGCGGTAATTTCCCCCAAACCAGTATTTATGAATAATTTCACCCCCTCATTGAGAACTGTACCTGTTTTATTACCACACATTCAGTCACACAACAGGAGCAGCTCAAACAGCTCAGCTCTCTTACATGCACTAACCAGCTGATGGTGAGAAACCAAAAGCTTTGACAGAGTCCGGTTCTGTGGTGGCAGGTGAAAAACAAAACAATGGGTCCAAACAGCAGGATGTGAAGAAGAAGAGGGAGCGAAAACAGTTTAAAGGAGACGTTTCCTGCTTGTTTGTGTTCAGGCTGTGACACATCGTCATTGTTTAGGTGGCGTGCTCTTGTGCACTAACGCTAAAACCAAACGGAGCAACTTTAAGAGTCCTGACATGCACACGGGAGAAATAAAACTGAATTCGATGCCACTGGTTTGTCAACAAACTGTCTGAAATAGGAACTCAGCTAAAATTAGGGAATTCAAATACAAACATAAGAAAACTAACCAGAACGTTTGCACATAAACAATCTTATTTCATGATTTCACAATGAGTTGAAAAGCTTCAGCTGAGTTTAACAAGAAACAAAGTTAAACCTGCTCGTTGGGCCCTCCAGCAGTGTTTTGGGTGGAGTGTGCAGCTGAACAACCTCTTCCACTCATCTCCACTTTTAAAGATGTGAACTCGGGCTTTTAGAGGTTTAAACTCTATTCAGACATTTGTAGGTGTGGTTCTGTGGACGATAGCATGGTGGCACAGTTGGTAGAGCTGCCACCTCTCAGCAAGCAGGTTGTCCAGGTTCAAATCCTGGTTCGGAGGTCTGTCTGGGTGGAGTTTGCATGTTTTCTCCGTGCATGCGTGTTTTTTCTCAGGGTACTCTGGTTTCCTCCCACAGACCACAAACATGCATGTTAGACTGATTAGTAACTCTAAATTGTCCCTAGGTGAGAGAGTGAATGGTCGTTTGTCTCGTTTGTCTCTATGTGTCCCTGTGATGAACTGGAGACCTGTCCAGGATGTCCCCCACCTCTCTCACAGACAACCTCAGCTGGAGCAACAACACCACCAGCCTGATCAAGAAAGCTCATCAGAGACTCTACTTCCTCAGACGGCTGAGGCGAGCTGGTCTGGGAAGCTCAGTCCTCACCTCCTTCTACAGGTGTGCAGTGGAGAGCATCCTGTGCTCCAACATCAACATGTGGCATGGAGGCTGCACAGCTGCAGAAAGAAAAGCTTTGCAGAGAGTGGTGAAGGCTGCACAGAAGACTGTTTAAGTCAGTCTCCCCACCATCACAGACATCTACACCTCCAGATGCAGGAAGAGGGCCACCTGCATCATGAAGGACCCCACCCACCCAGCACACACACTTTTTGCCCCACTCCCCTCAGGAAGGAGGTTGAGGAGGATTAAGTGTAAAACCACTAGACTGAGGAACAGCTTCTACCCTGAGGCTATTAGACTCATGAATCTCTAATCAGAATAATCACATCATGTTGCTGCTGATCTGTTTCATGTTGCTGCTGATCTGTTTCAATGTTGAGGTGTTCATGCATGCTCATCTGCTCACACAGACTCATGTTCATGTTTGTGCTGCCGTTCGACATATTGTTTTTATTCTACTAGTGCTTAGTGTATATTTAGTTGATGTTTTTCTTAGTTCATATCTTAGATGTTATTACTGTTTTTCTTTTACATTTTATTGTTGGATGTAACTGGGACCCTGTGTACATAATTTCGCTCCACCACATGTACCACATGAGGTGCGGACAACAATAAAGAAACTCTGACTCTGACTGACTCTGACTCACAGTGATGGCTGTACATGACATGGGCACTAGTGAATCTCAAGACCCGAAAAGGAAGAAGCGGATGAAGATAATGAATGAATGGATGGTTCTGGTAAAATGTTACCAACAGTTGCGATCTTACCTGTTATAGATAGCTCTTTGAACAAACAGCTTGGAGAACTTTAGATTAATTCCGACAGTCCTGACAAGCCAACAACCATCTTTGGACAACCTGTTCGAACAGCTGAAAGAAGTAGATCTATAGGAACGCTTCACAGCCTGCAGCAGTTCCTTTATAAATCAGACCCATCCACACTGCTTAATGCAACAAAAGATATTTGGAAATAAACTTATTTCTATTAACCATACACAAACTTAGCTTTTTGTTTTCTTTTTGTAAGAATTAAAAAACAGCAGAGACTTAAAGAAGATGTATTCAGAGGAAGTTATTTATCTTTCCTTGATGATTCTGACTCTTCGGTGGAGCTCTCTTCATGTCTGTGTTGCTGAGCTGCTTCGGACCTTAATTGTTTTAGCTGCTTGTTTTTCCTAAAATGAGCTGCAGGAAGCCTTTCCTGTTTTGAATGCACTATGAATAGAAGTGAATTGTGTGTTTGTGTTTTGTTTTCTGCTCGTCCGTCTATTTGAGAATGGAGCTGAAGGGAGCAGAAAAAGGCACGAGGTGAGAATGTTTTCCACGTCTCTACACAAACCACTCCAGATGATGGGATTTATCTGTGATCTATGGCCTGAGTTCCTCCCTCCACCTGGGTCCACTCTCCAACTGTGGTCCCTTTTCTTTTTCTCACACCGTTCTCCTTTTCATCGTCTCCTCCTCAGCTCAGTTTCTCCTCAGGAAACAGGACACAGCAAATTTCCAGCTTCTGTTTCTTTCACTTCCAAGTGGAAGCAGAAATGTGGGAAGAACTCCCGTCAATGAGTGTGAGCATTAAAGAAATAAAAAAAATGAAAAACTTTTGACCCGGACCAACTTCCTCCTCTCTCATGGAGAAGAAGCAGACTGTTTATGATATTAAAACACACAGCTGATCATCACACATTCATTTTTCTAAGGAACCGGATCAGTGGTTTAGATGCCTCACAGCTGAAAGCTAATCTTTAGGTTATTAATTCCTTTTGGAAATGATTTTTATAATAAAGATAAATCAAGATAAATCCTCATATGATCATAAAGCATCACAAAACACAGCAGCAAACAGAAGCTTTGAGACAATAACAGCTACTGACTGACAGGAAGATTGTTTTTTCCTCCTGTTTCCTGCGACTTTTTGGTGTTTTTATCCTTTTAGTGATAAAACTAAATGCTTTCATCCTTCGTCTCATTAGTGAGCTTTCTGCTTTTCTGAAGTCGGTGCATTTGGATGATAAAACCAGATTTCTATCAGAGCTGCGTTTAGCTGTGGATGAATGATTGAGGTGGAGGCAGGAAGAAAAACACTTTCACGTGTATGAGTACTTTATATATTTTAATACAAACACGCCAGGCAGTGAATGAGAACATATTAACAGTATTTACGAGAGGAAGTCATAGACCAGCAGACCACTCCTCATCGTCTCTGAATATTTCTGGGAACCTTCTTCATATATTTTACAATATTTACAGTACAAATGAAGCAAAAAAAAACACGGCTAGCTGGAATGTAGACTGGAGGACTCAGATTCTGTGGTTGTGGACGTTCCGGGGCGTCTCCGGGGTAGGATCTTCAAACTGGAGGCCCGACTCAGAGTCAGCGCTCGGCGGGCTGAACTCTTGAACCCTGCACCCAAGAAGGCGTAGAGCAGCGGGTTCAGGCAGCAGTGTGCGAATGCCATGGGCTCAGCCACCAACAGCCACATCCCCAAGGTGGCCTCCAGCCTGCAGCTCCGAGGCAGGACCTCCAGCCGCAGCAGGGCGTCCACAGAGATGCCCACTCCGTAAGGGAGCCAGCACATAAAGAAGCAGAGTACCAACGCGATGGTGGTCCTGACAGCCCTCCTCTTCTGCCTCTGGCCCCCCAGAGGGCCTCGGGTCAATCTGGTGACAATGACACAATAGCACACTAGGAGCACCAAACCGGGGATCACCAGACCCACCAGGACAAGCTGAAGGTGGAAGACTGCCACCCAGATAGGAGCAGTGTCTGCAGGGTAAAGGCGCTGGCACACAGTGGAGCCCTCCCCTCCTTCCTGAGTTCTGGCAAAGATCAGATCCGGCACAGCAAGAAGTCCTGCAGGTAACCACGCACCTGAAGAGTGTACAAAGACAATCAGAGGTCAGGGAAAGCAAGGGAGGGGATAGGAGAGAAACTCAGTTCCTGCTACTCACCTACATACACCAGTCTGTGAGCCAGCAGCTGTCTCAGCCCTCCAGAGTTCGTGTCAGTGGCACGGACTACCGCCAGGTACCGGTCCAGACTGATAAAGGCCAGGATGAGTACACTTCCGTACAGATTGACAGTATAGATCACGTGCACGCCGACGCAGGTGGCTGCTCCAAAACGCCAGTCAGCCAGGGCTGCGTCCACTGCCCAGAATGGCAGCGCCAAAACAAAGAGCAGATCAGCAGCAGAGAGATGGAGGCGGTATCGGTCCGTCAGGCTGCACTTGGACCTGTAGAAAAGGCAGAACCCAGTCATGCACTCAGTTTAAATGTTAATTGGAGCCAAAGCCCCCACCTTCGGTCCCTCCTGTGCTCTCACCTGCGTTGACAACCCAGCACCATGACCACCAGGCCGTTTCCTGTGATGCCCAGGATGAAGATCAGGGAGTAGACCACTGGCAAGAGGACCCGCTGAAGCTCTGCTGTCATTATGTGCTCCACGCCACAGGGATCCTCCAGGTCCACTCCCACCTCCCCAGAGCCAGAGCCAGAACCAGAACCCGTGTCATTGTAGTCGTAGTCCAAGAGGATATACTGGAGACAGATAATAGATGATGAAGGAAAAGCCAACAGCAGATTTGTAATGAAACTTTCATGCTCGACTGAACCAAGTTTAAGTTTATTTGTCATATGCAGGTCAACACAAGATCAACAATACAATGAGATACTCGACACACACCAAAAAAAAAACAAGAAATACTAAAGCATGCAACAAAAGTACAGAACACGGCACCAAAAAGTGAAAAAGAAATACAACCTCAACAAGGTCCAAAAGTAATATAGTAAACAACATGGTAGAATACAACGAGGGAGGAATCAGTACAAACAAGTACCTCACAGGCAGCAACGCTGCCGCAACGCACATGATACATGTTGTACACAACATACACTACACGTGATACATGTCGCACACAACATGCACCTGCACATGATCTGAACGATGGCAGGCAGCGACGCACATCTTACCTCATAGTATGGCATGTTGGAGCAGGTCCTCCTTTCTTGGCCGAGTGAAGTTGAATTTTCAGTCAGAGCTTTTATAGATGTGCTCTAACCCCTCCCCAAACACACCAGCATGTCTGTGAGCCTGCTGAAGCCTTTTTCCTGTTTTCGAGGTGTCAGCTGCTCACAGTGGATCTATCGCAGGATGCCGCCTTGTTGCGTGAGCGCTGTTTGAATTGTTTTAGCCCCTGAGACCCCTGGTTTGTTGTCACCGGGGTCTATTGGCAGTAGGAAATAGAAACAATGTGTGTGTTTCCAAACTCCTCGCTTGCTTAAATCAGGACAAGCGGACAGAGTTTTAGACGATGAACATGTCTGCTTTATACGAAGCATGAATGCTCGTACACGAGCATGCATGAGAGAGATGGAGGAGAACCAGAGTGTTATATTGTGTAAATAAATGGGAGATGGATATCAGCCTTCCCCTGCTCAGTTCTGGTAAACAGCCTCTGATGTGTGTCAGTGAAGCATCAAGTCTGTCTGTGAGGTCACTGTGACTTCTGTCTGAGAGCAAAATAAACCAATATTTGGATAAAATGTGTCACTTTTTGGAGCAGGACTATAAACAATTTAAAACTTTTCAGCATTTATTTATAAAATGAAAAATACAGTTTTATAAAACACATCTGATAAAGTCTTAGTGCAATACAATTAATATTAATTTAGGCTTTTAATGTTTGTTTTTTCCCGCGACCGAAAAGGAAGGAGCGGGTAAAGATGATGGATGGATGGATGTTTTTTTTAACCATTCTTTTCTCAGAGTTACCATAGCATACCGTTTTATTTATTAAGCATTTAAAAACAGCAACAAGGCCGACCAAAGTGCTGTAAAACAAAACAAACATTGACATTAAAAGCATGTGATGTGCTGGCCTTAGAGAGAGCTGTGGGACATATGGCTGCAGCTGATCAGATTGTGATATCAGAGATGGCACAACTGTTAGGAGATTCAAAAACGTACAAAATAATTTTAAAATGTATTCAGAAGTGAACTGGAAGCCAGTGAAGGGAAGACAAAATCCGAGAAATGTGTTTTATTTTGCCTATACTAGTTAAAAATCAGGCTGGAGCATTTTGAACCAGATGCAAACATGCAGTGGAAGTCTGACTGATTCCAAAAAGAAGCAGCGATCAAGCCTGAATGTTATAAAAGCATGCATTACTGTCTCAAGATTTCTTTTGGACAGTCATCGCAACTGAAATAGGCAGGATTCAACAATTGTGTTTAATTTTATGGAAGGGTCCATTTTACCTTTGTGATCATTGTTTTCTCAGCAGGGGCCAGGCAGGAAAAGTCAATGGAGTGGTTCCTGTTGGTGCCGTTAGGTGGAAACAATTCTGTCTTCTTATAGTTTAAATTCAAGAAATTTAAAACATCCAACTCATGATGTCAACCAGGCATTCAAGGAGCGGTTGGACAGAGCACGCACCAACCGCTGGCGTAGAAATTAAAAGGGATGCCGTGTTTATAGTGTCAGCAGGTATAAAGAAAAAAGAAGAGATCCGAGAATGGAGCCTTGTGGTAACCCCCACCAAAGCTTTTTTCGAAGAGGTTGGACCAAAACCGTTTGAGCGCTGACCCTGTGATAATCTCCCACTGCTCAAGCCTAGAAATGATGGTCATGGTCTCTCCCAGGGTTCAGTTGTTTTACTTTGTACAAAATCCATCTTCAATGGGTTTTTTAAAGGTACACAAGTGTAAATTAATTGTAGAGCCACAGTAGGTTAAAGTTAAACACACAGACTGAAACATATGCATACACTCTCACTAATATTTGGTTAAACGTCTATCAGAACGCTCTGACAGAACTCTGTCTGGATGTTTGACCTCTCTTCTCAGCAGAATCAGTAGAGTTTGTTTAATTGGTTGCTCTCCTGGCACAGACCTGGATGTTTTAGGGTTGAGGTCAAGGTCTTTGTCAGACCATCTCATCTCAGACCAGTTCTGTCTGAGTCTGAGATGCCTGTCCTGCTGGAAGACCCAAATAAGTCCAAGTTTCAACCAACTTGTAACTGACTGGAGGTGAGGTAGTCCTCCTCCTTCATTATTCCATCCACTTTTTTCAATGCACTAGTACCACAGCATGATTCTACTACTGCCATACCTGACAGCTGGTACAGTGTTCCTGAGTGTGAATGTTCACATTGACCCCTCAAAGAAAACTTCTGGTCATTATGATCAAAGAACTCAATCCTTGTCTCGTCAGACCATAAATCTTTTCACCAGAGCACGTTGGTCTTGGTTGGTTGGGACCCTCTCATGCTGACATAAAACTAGCTTCGCTGTGGACAGGGACAACGGTGTTCCAGTTCCTGGTTCATATCAGGTTTCAGTCTTGATGGTTCATCTGTTGTTCTTGAACATATCATTTGAGGGGAACAGTTTGGGATTTTCTTCCAGATTTTGGTAAAGGGGTAACACATCCAAATAGCTTTTTTACAACCATTTGAACCAGTAACTTGGAATCAGAAGTTGTTTTTAAAGGACTTTGAAAGACTTTATCCAAGTTCTGTGAATCAACAGTTCAATTCATTTTATTTCTATAGCTCCAAGTCACAACAGAAGTCATCTCAGGGCACTGAACAGAAACATTCACATGCATTATAAAAGCTATGGGATTTACCTGTATAAATAAAGGTTGATTGATTGATAATAAGTAAAAGTTCTCTGTCTAAGGAAGCAGCAGATTGCGTTGAACCTTCACTTCGTCACAGTCTCCCATCCTGAGCAAGCACAAAGGAGACAGTGGAAAGAAAAACTCCCTTTTAACAGGATGAAACCTCCAACAGAACCAGGCTCAGGACAAGCGGCCATCTGTTTAGACCGGCTGGGTTTGAGAGGACAGGAAGGAGAGACAGACAAACAGAACAGGTCCAGGTGAACTTTCTAAAGGAGGAAAGACAAAAAACATGTTAAGATGGAAATAATTACAAATACAAACATGTAGAGTAAAACCAGAGTATGTAGAGTAAAAACATGCAAGTAAAACCAGCAGTAGGGTGAGGAAATGTGGTCAGTTTACAGTTGTCTAAGCCTATAGCAGCATAACTAAGGGATAGCTCAGGAAACCCAATTCAACCCTAACTATAGGATTGATCAAAAAGGAAGTTCCAGTTCTGCTTCTAGGATCTTCACTGAGTTCCCTGAGTCAACCATAATCACTAACAAGAAGTTGCAGATTTGATTTTGTCAAGCTAAAAGACAGATTTGACCGTTAAGCACCACTTATTAAAAAATTAATGTACTTGAGCCATTATGTATAATTTCTTCCTCATGTAAATTTACAATAAATCCAAACATTTGCTCCTTATTATTTATTAATTTAGTTTGAAAATCTATTTAAAACTGCAAACTGAAAGTTATGACTTCTAACTAACACCATTTACATGTTTCAGTAGTGCACTATCAAAACTGTATCATGTGATAAAGCGAGTAATAAACTCTGTAATCTGCTGGTTTCAAGTGTCACCTGGACGTGCTGCAGGCTCGTGTCTCAGCAGACACGCTCCCTGAGGCCATTCTGACTATAAATCTCCGTCTTTTCCCTGCTCTCTAATCCCAGGAGCAAACAGTAAACCTACTCCAAAAGCAAACGTTTAAGAAAACTGTCAGAAGCGCGGCCCCCCGGCTCCTTATCTGCTTCCTCGCTTCCACACCCTTTCCTCCACGCTCACCGTATCGGCACCAGAATCTCCAAACATGGCACTGCTGGACAAACCTCTGCAGTTTGGACGAACATGTTTCAAAAATCCTTATTTTTTAGCAGAATCTAGATTGTGTGGCAGCATTATAGAAAACAAATGTTGATCATTTTAATAAATGTTTAGTGTTAAATGACCACATTGATTAAATCAGGCTGAACTCAGTGAGACTTTATGTTCTCACCTGCACCTATACGGCTGTGACAAGTGAAATAAGAGCTAATAATTATCTGCTTTCACACAATGTGTAAATTATATTGTTGCTTGAACGTCTCACAGCTTCAGTTAAACTAGAATAAAACAGAAATGCTGGTATTTGGTGCAGACAGAAAGCTGCAGCTCATCAGATTTCTGTCCTTAGAAGGCAAAGAGAAAGATGAAACCTCAACGTAATACAGGCAGTTTGAGTTTTAATTGTCTAAATGTTTCTGAATCATTCTCTTTATTCAGATCCATTGTTCTTCTGTACATTTTTCAGCTCGTAACTCGTTCTCTAGTTTTGGTTCCATTTGAACAATTCACAAATCAAAATGTTCGGCTCATTCAGGACATTCCTGCTCTGACTTCTGGTGTTTGTGCAGTTTTTACTTCAAATTTGTCGGCCATGTTTTCCTAATAGAAAATTAATGGAGCTCTCTCCACATCCTTCAAACTCTTTGAGCCGTTTTTCACTGCTAATTTCAGCTGTTCTGGTTCAGCTTTTCTGCTAGCTGTTTTCTGCCTTTTTAGCTAGTTTTAGGTACTTTTCTACTAATTTTAGCCTTTTGAAAATGTATATTTCTTCTAATTTCTACCCATTGAGCTGCTTTCAAAAAATTTCCACCTTTTTGCTCCTTTCAGCCTTTTTCTGCTAATTTTAACTTTTTTTGTAGCTTTCTTGGCCACTCTTGTTAATTTCAGCTTTGTTCTGCTCAATTCAGTTTCGCTACTGTCAGATTTTTTTGTAATCTATTCACTTCTTCAACTTTTTCTGCTAATTTCTGCTGTTTTTCTGCTGCTTAAAGCAAATTTCAGCTGTTCAAATTTAACTTGTATTAAGTTTAGCGATGAAACCTTTTCAGCTGGTTTCAGCTTCTTCAGCAGCTTTCACCAGAAATCATTCAGCAGTAAGTCTAAAAAAGTTAAGTCTTGTCCTCTGGACATTCAAAAAACAAAACAGAGCAAAACAAACAAACAAAAAAATGTAGAAACGTTTCGTCTTCCATCCGAAAGACTTCCTCAGTCTGAGGTGCTGTATTCAGCTCAGTCTTATAAATAGCAACTTCTCAGAGTGGATC